TATATACAAAAATATGCTAAATTTTTATGTGCAAGAATTAGAGGGTCGTAAAAACATTTTATAAGGATAATGTAAAAAGCCGCTGAAATTTTATTATTTCTAGATTATATGATGTAACAATGTACTTAAATTTTATTTAAAAGTATTTAGAAAGCTATGCTAATAGGTAGATTGTAAATTTATGGGTATCTAAACTTGATAATACATGCCAAGAACTATAGTACCATCATTTATGTATTTAATCTTTTCTTTGCAACTTAATGTGTATAAAAAAAGCATGCTTGAAATAATATGATGAGCGTCAATATTTCTATTAAATTGTTTAATTATTTATAATTTAAAGGATAATTGATTTAATATTATTTTTGGATAATTTGTACAATTTAACTTTGAATTTGCCTTATAAGATATTTTACTAGCCATTTCAAGTAAATCATTAATTAAATTGATTTTTTTCCCCTATTACACAGCAAAATTGACCTAAATTACTACAAACTAATAAATTAATTAGAGAAATCTAACTTTAGATATGAAATGATTCTAAATACAAAATATTTCATCTTCATGAATCATATATATATTTGTTCTAAGTATGAATAATAAAATATATATTATGAATTATGAAACAAAAAATACAATAAAAAAAGAAATTATTTAATCAGCAGACATAAATCTTAAATTTAAAGGATTTAGTATTTGAAATATAATTGCCGAATACATAATTGCTTATAGATGATTGAGTAACAAATTGTAAATTTTGTGTAGAATTTAAGAAACTAATTTAAGTGAACTTGTGCTAAATTAGGATAATATGATTCAGATAAAAAAATAAAATTTAAAACTTAAATTTTCAAAGAATTTCATGAAAGTATAAAAGATAAAATCTATAGAACTAAATCTTAAATTATAAAACCAAGCTTCTTATCATAAAAAATTTAAATAAAAAAATCAATCAAAAAAGAATTAATAAATAAAAGTATATCAAAACTTCCTTTTTAGGCAATTTTCAAAAATCAATTTTATCTTTCAATCTCGTTATCTGATGACACATCCCTTAAAGTTAAAATTCTTGTAAATTTGCTTCCAAGATCCCTAGCAATTATTATTTATTCTTTATCCCTTTTTCTCAGCTTTATTTTATCGACTTGCTTTTTTATTTTTCCTTTATCAACCCATAGTTATACTTCTACTTTTACTTAATTTCATTATCTAATAAAATAGTATTATATCTCTCTTACTTTTTTGTTTATACCTCTTCATGCCTAAAATTTTATAGAGCAGCTATGTTCATTCTCTCATTAATTATTTCAATTAATAAATATTCTAGCTTGACAATATAACTTCATATTTATTATCTTCCTCATCTATACTTGTATATGATGATAGAAATATTTCTTAATTAACATAAATTAAAATGGTTCGCTGCATAAACATTTTTTCATACTCAATTATCTAAATACTTAATTGATTATTGAAATATAGTTTTTATTAAAAAATTAAGGTGAATTTATTTGATGAATTCAAAAATGTATTCTTAATTCTCATTATAAATATATTCAAAAGAAAATAAAGTTCATAGCCTCTACTAGGATGGTAAGGATCTTGAGACATGACAAAAAATTCTACATATAAATTAAGTAAGGAGATATTCTCTAATGCTGCATTATTATTAAAGAGACAATTGATTTATGATTAAATAATAATAAGAAAATATTATATATGTGCTGATTTATCGGTAGGTTAGAATTCTTGATTATATATAAATATTATACAAAGGCAGACAAGAAGTATATTAATATTATTCATAGATATTACTATTCTCAATATTATTTTTCCTTATTTTTATTAATAAATTCAATGAAAATGTTATTAAATGATTATGCATAGAGACATATTATATAGAATAATGTGATTTATTTTATCCAGAACAAAAAGATCATTCTAATGAAAAAAGTTTAGGTGCTACTGGAGAACTTATTATGATTTTAGATGATGATCTCAGAGAAAAGAGAATAATAAGGAGGACATTCAGGAAGAATAAAAAAGAGACAAAATGACAATACATGAGACAATTATAAAGTATTATGTTAAGGAAGAGGTATAAGTAAAAATAAGCCAAAAATTAGGTATGATGATAAGAGAAAGAGACAGAAACTTACTGAAATTTGGTATAAAAAGTAGTACTATTCATAAATTAACCTTTTGGTTCGAATAAAATAGTGATTACATAGAGATTAACTTTCAATAAATTTTGCAACAAGTTGATTTTTGATTTCTTTTTTTCCTTTCCTGAAAATATTTCTATATTGCCAAGAATCTTTAAATTACTGTTTCCACATTCCATACTAGCATTTCTGAAAAGAAATTTCTAATAAAAGGGCTAATAATATAGTTATAAACATCTATGAATTTAACTTTAATACATATATTCGTCAAGCATTGGCAATCAGAATAAATTGAAAAAAAATTGCAAATGTCATTAGCAAACAAGATTTTTGTATTGATCTTAAATTTATAACCGATAAGATTAAATTAAATCAGAAAGTTCCAAATACAGTCTAAATTCTTCAATTTAAATCATGAAATAAAAATTCAAAAATCAATCATCAAGATAAAAAATCAAAATTTTGAACTATTCCTTCTACTTTTTCTCGTATTTTTAATAGGATTTATTTTTAGCCCTTATTCACCTAAAAATCCTTCCTATTAATTCTAATTCTTTCAAAAGTTAAGAAAGTTTTATTCAGCATTTTTACCATCAACTAGACCAATTTAAATGTTACTTAATATACATTTTTTAAATATTCTGCAATTTACAATTCTAATGAGAATTGGCCAAGAATAACTAAATCATACTGATTAGGTAAATAATACTTAAAAATTCTCTAAAAATATAATTTTACTAGAAATATTAACTCAATAATCTTCTTGGGTTTAAATGTTAGTAATGGCTCTATTATTCCTATATCAATTCAACATATAGTAATAAAAACTTAATAATGAAAATTTTGAAGATACTCAGATAGATTAAGAGCAATAGTTGATAGAGTATTTTAATGACGGATCCATTAATATTGATTTTGTTACCAATATATCTAGGATAATGATAATTAATCATTCTATGAGATAAAAATTGTGATTTAAAACTTTAGTAATTTGCATTGTTATTTCTATAATACATGTTTTATGATTAATGTAGATGAATAACAGAATTAGCCTCCAAAATTAACAGCAAAATTATAAAAGTTTGTGATTTTCAATCTTAAAAATATGAGAATGTAATTTGAAAAAAAAGTTAATAAGTAAATAACATCATTGAAAAGGATACTTTAAAACACTTTAATTCGATTTTAATCTTCAGTTGAATAATCCC